GCCATGCAAGATCCACTGCCCTAATCACTGTGCCACTGGCTATCTCAGTGAATGCCCTTTTTAATAAAGAAATAAATTACTTCAAAATCATTTATTCACAACATTATCATCAGCAGGATCAACAAATACGATAGTTCAATAACTTTTTTTGGAACAAAACAATGGGAACATGCCAGTAGGTTTTGAAAACTTCTATATATTCTTTAGGGCTGAAGTGTCAGGGATAAGTATGTACAAAATCTAAACGTCCCTAGTGAGGCCCATGCTTAAGTAGAGATGTTAAGCAGGTATGAAGCAGAAATCTCAACACATCATGTTTCCCAGAGGCTATTTAACTTTCTTTCAGCGTGATCATCTCCCTTTTAGACTTTGTCTAGCCTGTTGACAAGGCTCTGTACAAATGTTCTGAATATGGGCTTGTTCTTTGCTCCATTCTCGTCCACTCTCCAAGCGTCTGTAGAGTGCAGTTGTAAGGACGTGAGCCTGCTTCATGCTCCTTGCTTTGCCGTGCCACATATGCCGGCATGAAAAGGATGAGGCTCCTTAAAAGCCTTCTCACCAACCTGCTGCTCAGGTTTAATTTTTTCCTCGTCCATAGACTCCTGCCAAGCATGTTATTTCTTTAGAAAATCATGTTCTGATAAGTCAGCCATAGTTTCATTTCCTCAAGTTGAGATGGATTTTCTGCTCTTCCACTGAGGAACAGCTCCAACAGCGGGCCAGGGTTAAAGGTGGAGTCTGCAACCACACAGCTCACTTTCCCCCAGGACGAACTACTTGGCAAAGAATCAAGCCAACAAACCTCGTTTAGCTCCTGTTTCCTGACCAGCTGAATCATTCTTTATCATGTGCATTTCCTGCTAACAGTTCCTTGCCTTCAGTCCTTCATAGCTTTATAATAATTTCCTAACTTGCAAGTAATAGTTCTTACTCATTTTCAGAATGAATCCAGAAGTAGCTTCATTAAAAATCATACTCTAGGGACCAATAAGGTGGCCTAATGGTTACGTTGCTGGACTCCCATGTAGTTGACCATGGTTTGCATCCCAGACCCAGTGGCTTAAAATTCACCCTGTGTGTGTGTGCGCGTGGCCATCTCCCCTGGGGGGTGATTCCTTGCTTTCTGTCTCTGTCTCCCTTTGTCTCTCTGGCAAATGCATGCGCCCTATAGCAAAAATCTCTCTTAAAAAAAAAAAAAAAAAAAAAAAAAAAAAAAAACATAAGTACCACCAAAAGTTAATCCATAGTCACCTATATCCCAGACAGAAGGAGTTTTGTAGAGTGTTATATTCCCTTTTCCACTGAACCCTAGTGAGAACTACTGTCTGCTCCACTCCCTGGGGCTAGGGGAAAAGAGAAGTGGGGAAACATTGGTGGGAGATGTTCTTCTGGGAGGATGTAATTCCCAAGGGGATTATCCAGGGTGGGGCAGTGGCTAATGATGGACAGATGGGGTAGCCAATGAGTCCCAGTCGTAAGAATGGGCTTATTGGGACCAGCAGTTAGTGTAATGGTTAGGTTGCTGGACTCCCATGTAGTTGACTGCGGTCTGAGTCCTGGACCTGGTGGCTTAAACTCACGCTGGGTGCATATGCGTGCATGCCCAGGATCCTGAGAAGAGAAAGGATTGGGATTGCGGCGTGGCTATCTACCCTGGGGGAATGATGTCTCACTTTCTATCTCTCTGTTTCTCTCTGCCTTTCTCGCGAGTGCTTGTACCCTGTAGCAAAAACTTCTCAAAAAAAAAAAAAAAGGAATGGGCTTATTATCCTGTTTTTCCTGTGAGACTCCTTCCTGTCACTTCCTATTACAAAACTAATAGTCTGTCAGCTTAGGTAGCAGCCATGTATTCCTGATGCCTCCCCAACTCTCTTCTCACTGCTGAGTGCACTCCCCCACCGAAAGGTTTTTGTGCTGGCTAATTCACAGCACTCTGTTCAGCTCATTCCTGTAATATTCAGCACCCCTGTGTTGGGTGCAGTGCTGAACACTAGCAGTAAAGCCATGAACACGAGAGAAACATTCTCTGCCCTCGTGGGCCTTCCGCTCTGATCCTGAAGGCGACAGTGCTAAATATTTGCAACAACGCTACTTCCTCTTTTAGAAAATTATGAAAGAAATTTTTACTGCATTGTTGGTACTATGCCTACCCTCAAGTGGTTTCTAATGATGGTAGGGGGGATAGAGACTTACAGGAGAAATGTTAGTAGGACAAGCTAAGAGTTAAACTGCCTGGCACAGCCTGGCGATGCAGCAGTAGCACCTGCTCTGCAGTGCAGGAAAGT